GAGAGAGAGAGAGAGAGAGAGAGAGAGAGAGAGAGAGAGAGAGAGAGAGGAGGGGGGGGAGTCAGATTGCTGACTAGGGGAAACAGCAGAGGCAAAGAATGGGCAAATTAAGTTGCAGAAGGGTCCGGTAGCCAAAACCTCCTAACAGTAACAGAGCAGGGCCTGAGCCCCACACCATAAAACATGTAAGGAGGTTTCGGCTACCGGATCCTTCTGCAACTTAATTTGCCCATTCATCAGACTGCAGTTATTGTTCTGGTGAGAGCCTTAAGCCATTAGTACCTTTGCCGAGTGGGAAAATAGCGGGCCTCGGACCGTTAAGGAGGCCGGGACGAACAGACGGCAGCCGATGGGGTTTATCAATGGCAGCTGTCGTCAGCCCCGGCCTCCGAAGTCGTCGGGAACAGCCCGTTTTCCCTAATTTGCCAACTCTAGACTAGGTACGAGTGCTCAAAAAAAAAAAAAAAAAAAAGCTGGTCATAGCCTAACATGGCATACTATTTACAAGTGTATGGAACTCAGTTCAACTCACCATCAGACACTTGAGCCGCACAGGGGAAGCTGTGCGAGCCCACGGTCATCGATGATGGCCTTGCTCTGTTCCAACAAGTCCCAGAGAGTCGCAGACGGAACAATGGGGCAACAGCAGTCAATAATCATTGGACCCTGTTATCTTCCATCGAGTCCCATCGAGTCCCATCGAGTCCCGTGAAGTCCCATACACTTTTGGGACTTGTGGTCCCAGAAAGAACATTGGTGCACACAGCATAACGGAGTGCGTTATGTCTCCCAGCAAGTCCCAACATGTCCCGGCGAGTGCCAGCAAGTCCTGAAGGAACAGCTGACCCACAGAAGTCCATGATGGAACTTGTTATGTACCTGCAAGTCCCAACAAGCCCCAGCACGTACCAGTAAGGAACAATTGACCCACAGAAGTGTATGATGGGGCTTATTATGGGTTGTCTTATCAAGTCCCAGCAGATCACAAAAACGTGTATGATGGAACTTGTCATGTCCCAGCAAGTCCCAAAAGCGCACGATGGGACTTGTTTTGTCCCAGCAAGTCCCAGCACATTGAATGGAACTTTTTATGTCCCAGCAAGTCCCAGCAAATTGAAGTCAACAATGGAACTTGTTATGTCCCAGCAAGTCCCAGCAAATTGAAGTCCACAATGGAACTTGTTATGTCCCAGCAAGTCCCAGCAAATTGAAGTTCACAATGGAACTTGTTATGTCCCAGCATGTCCCAGCAAGTGTCCCAGCAAGTCCCAGCAAATTGAAAGTCCACAATGGAACTTGTAATGTCCCAGCAAGTCCCAGCAGATCCCAGAAGATCACAGCAGATCGCGGTGGATCCCGGCAGATCGCAGCGGATCGCAGCGGATACCAGAAGGACAGTTGGCCCATCGAAGTCTAGTATGGAACTCGGTGTGTCCCAGCAAGTCCCAGCAAGTCCCAGCAAGTCCCAGTAAGTCCTAGCAAGTCCCAGCAAGTCCCAACAATTGCCAGCAAGTCTCACCTGCTGCTCTCTCATACAGCCAACGCTCTAACGCCTCGTGACCCTCACTTGCCGGCGGCGACCGAATATCCATCTCTGGTCCCGCTCCCACACCATCCTCTAAGCAACCGCGGAAACCCATCGACGTCTCTGTGGCCATCTGGCACCCGTCCATGCTCAGCCGGTCGCGGAAGGTTTCATATGCCTGCTGATTCACAAGAGTCGCTGGGCCCAATACCTCCATCGGATGCATGGTACCCATGGCACACATGGGACCTATGGGACTCTTGCAACCAATGCTGCCCTCAACAGATGCCCCTTGACTCGCCAACTTCATCATTTCCCTTTCCCAAAGCGCCATGTCCCATGGTGTGAAGTGCCGCTCACTCCCAGGAGATGCTGTACAAGACCAACACAAAACATACGAAAGGGAGCACAAAATTAGGATGTCCCATGGTCCGAATTGCAGACTGGGAGTGCGTGCATTGTTGGTGACATCCGCACAAATTCAGACTACTCTCTGGCAAACGGGCGTTGTCTAAAGGGACGCTGGACCCATTTTCCAGCAGGGTGAAGCTCCCCACCGATAGACAGGAGCCGGCCAGGAGGCTGCTAGGAGTGGCTGCTCATATGAGCACTCCGAGCAGGCCCCAGTCGGAGTTTTTCAGGGGAAAAAAAAAGGAGGAGGAGGGGGGGGGGGGTAATTGGTGAGGTAGTGCAGCAAGGCTCCAAAACCCTCATCGAAGCTGAAATCAACTGGACGAAAGATAACGAGCTAGCCTCCATAACAACGGAAGGCAAGCTCAGACTGGCTCCCTGGGGGTTACAGGGAGACAAGAGGGTACAGTACAGCATAGAACCGCCATGGGTTCTCCGCTGGAAGTAGAGTGGTAGGGAATCTGTTTTGCAAGTGGGAAAGATCTAAAACTACTGTGTGTTTATCTTGGTGTCAACGATAGGAAACATTGATCCCTACCGTAGAAACAGAGGTTTTGATTTATTATACTTTTTTTTAAAAGTAGCAAGTGACGACGTGGTTGGTCGGTTGTGAATTAGACATAGCAATAGTCTCTGCAAAGGGTGAAGGGTTGCGGCTTCAGTTATGATGGAAATCTCTAAGAAGAGTTCATCTTTAGATTGTATTAGGATAGGAAGGAGGATAGGAAGGAGGGTAGGAAGGAGGATAGGAAGGATGATAGGAAGGAGGGTAGGAAGGAGGATAGGAAGGAGGATAGGAAGGAGGATAGGAAGGAGGATAGCGGAGGGCAATTCTAAGTACTCTGTGATGCAACGGGGTCCGCTTTGGGTCTCTCGTAAAAAGCGAAACTGGGTAAGGCTTCCAGAATCCAGATTGTCATGTTTTTATTACCCCGGGTCGAAGAAGAAAGAAAAGAAAAGAAAAGATAAAAGTTGTATGGGTCCAAAAGATCTATTTTTTTTGCAAGGAAAGTGGGTGGAACCCCCCCGCCTGCGAATATTTTTTTTTTCGCTGTGAAACTACCGGTGGCGGGACCTCTAAAGCTGCACCGAAAGATATATTTTTGCACCGAAACTTGGGTCCCACCAATACTTTTGCTGTGAAACTACCACGACACGCTATTTTTGAAACTTAGGAACAATACAGAGAGAGGTAATTAGCAAGGCCCCTACGCAGGGATGACACCACATATCGAGAAATAGTCCAAAAAAAAAAAAAAAGAAAAAAAAAAAAGAAAAAAGATGCCCATTTAAACTTCAAACCAGTACTTAGAGGACCGGCATAGCACCAATGATTGTCTGTGGCTGGTCTCTTGTTTTGTTGGCTCACCAGTACATGGGCGTCTGGGCCGCGGGCCTCACACCTCAAACTCTGGAGGCGTGAAACGGAAACGCGACCGCTGATCGAATTAATCAACGGCGGCCCAAGCGTTTGACGTTTCGGCTCGGCGTCATTTTCTGGTGGCGACAAGTTCCAGACTGCAAGGCTGGGGAAGTGTACTTGTGGTTTAAACCACCAGTACCTCCAGGACCTTAAAAGTGCTCCGAACGGGCGTGGCTTTTGGGATGAACGGGCCTGGGCCGGTAGCCGCGATTCAGCCAAGTGGAAACAGCGCGATTTCCACTTTTGGCTGGCGCGATTTCCACTTTTGGCTGGCCGTTATCGCGGAGCACTTTTAGGAGGTACTGGTGTTTTAAGGAGACCTGTTTCGTGATTCTTCACATATTGTTTGCTATCTATCTCGTCCATGACAGCGCAGGTGTGGTTATGTGTTCTTGCACTCGAGTCAGACTTCGTTTGACTTTGCAGACTTGATTTGACTTTGAGTCAGACTTGATTTGACTTCAGCGCTTATACGAGATGAGGCGGCTCAAAGAGCGGTCGTTTTCGGGGTATGCAAGCATACCCTGCAACCCTTCGGCCTTGTGCACTTGGGGAAGCACGCGAATGCACGCTGGCCTTCGGCCCTCTGCCTGCTGTTGGTCAAAACCAGCTTTGTTTCCTCTACTGTTGCCACTTGAAGGTCAGCCATATGCCCCTAGTGTGAAGTTCGGTCGCACACTTTGATAACTATAGGTGACCTTCCGGCCGCCCTCAAAACGACATTCGTACTAAGCTGACAGTTTTTCCGGATAAGTTAGGCTGGATGAAGAAGCAAAAAAGAAAGAAAGGCCAATTAAGATCAAAGAATGAGTCAGACTTGATTTCACTTTGAGTCAGACTTGGGTTGTCTTTGCTTATCGTCCTAGCACCAATGGGCCTTAGCCTTACCTGTGCCATGTTCGTGCTAAGTTCGAACGCATCTGGTCAGTTTTTTTTCCGTCACCGACCCAGCACTTAGGGCGTCGTTCGACACTCCTCGGGGACGCGATTCCAAGGATTCCGTCGTTGTTCCACCTGTCCTCGGAGATGAAATCGGAAATGAAAATGTGAAAACACTCCGAGGACAAATCCTCGGGCTCCGAGGATTTCCCAGCCGAATCGTCCTCGGAGCCCGAGGATCCGCGATTAACGGAGAGGAGAGCGCATGCACGTAGAGAGACGTGATCGTGGCAGCACCCTATTGGCTGAAAGCCTGAAGCACAACTTTTTTTCTTTTTTTTTTCCTTTTATTTTTCTGACATTGCTCTGAGGATGAGTCCTAAAACCGATGCTCCGAGTATGAGTGGAACGAAGACGACAAAAACCTTTAACTTTTCCAAGGATTCATCCTCGGAGCCCGAGGATGCCCCGAGGAGTGTGGAACGACGCCCTTAGCACACCCTTTGGCCATACACGGGTGCTAATATGATGGAGCTAATAAGTGGGACCCACCTACCGTCTTCGCCCCAACCCCGAACATAACGCAACCTGATTCTGAATGTATATAAGCCATCTTTCCGGTAAGATGCAGTCAATAATGACGTTGCCTTGTGTTCGGGGGAAGAAGGTAGTTACACCCCCCCCAACAAAGCCAGTACAAATCTGGCCAGTTTAGCGTTATGTGGGACCCTGCACCTGGTGATAGGGACCCCCCCCCCCCCCTTCCTCATGATCTGGGTGGGGGGCTGTGGGTGGTCGGTGGGAACTGTAGGATGGGGTTTGTGGGGAGTCGTGGGGGGTTTAATGGTTGGGGGTTGTTGGGGGGTGGGTGGGGGACCACGGTGCGGGGGCGGGGGAGAGGGTGAAGGCCAACCTGATATGTTATCTAGGAGAGGGTTCTCCATCCCAGCAAAACCGCTATGATGTCCCATTGATTGCAGCAAATCAACGGCCTCCATTGATTGGCTCAACAACATGGAATGCTGTGTATATCTATATATATGTATATATAAACAGTCCAGAAACTCTTCTTCTCCTCCTGCTGCTGCTGCTGCTTCTCCTGCTTCTGCTGCTGCTGCTGATGATGATGATGGTGAAGGTGATGATAAGGAGATGAAGATGATGACGTCAACAGGATCCTGCACAGGCACAACACGACAAAAATGAGAAAGGGGTTTGGGGGGAGAACAAGAGGAATACCGTAGGGTAGCCATGTTCTCCCGAATAGAACGTGGGGTTGGCAGATCAGTATTCAGAGCAGTTTCCCAGGCAGATGCCCATCATGAGGACTACACTGTCTTCTTTTTTTTTTTTTTTTTTTTTGAAAAAGTGTCTCATATAATTCAAAGAATGCATTCGAGAACGGAGACCTCACAATTCTACGCGGATAAGAACTGGGGCGGCTCCACTTTCCATGGGAGAAGAAAAAAAGCGGCAATTGAAAGGAAAAAAACAAAGAAAAAAAGCCGGCAATTGATTTTGCTCATCCAACAATCCGATGATAGATACTGCCGATCTACAACGATAGATTCCATCTTTCATTTTATTTTATTTTTTAATTATTTTTGAATTAGTATTATTTATTTTTACATCTTTGGAAGCTAGGCTACGAGCCGGGCCGCCCGGGTCATCCTGTTTTCCCAGGCGGCCCGGCCGTGCAAGGACCAGGGAGGGTCCCAGCGAAAAAAAAAAAATCCAAAAAATCCGGAAAAAAAACCTATGCTATGCAGAAAAATAAACTGAACAACTTTTGCCTCAGGGTCACATCGAAATTCTTTACCAATTTTAAAGCTTTTTTTTTTTTTTTTTTT